TAGAAACATCGATGGGAGAGAAACACCAACCAGCTGCCTCCTGCACACCCCCTACCGGGAATGTGCCCGCAACCAATGCACATGCCCTTGACCAGAATTGAACCTGGGACCTTTCTGTCTGCAGACCGACGCTCTATCCACTGAGCCAAACCAGTTTCAGCTAGGACCAAGGTTTTAGGTGGACATAATGTGCAGGTGTTTGTCAGGATTCGTGATGTGCAGGAAACGAACCATAGCAGACTTTTCTCGAGCGTACCAGCCCATCACGCGGCCCACTGGGTCCTGGGAGTGGGCTCAGGGTCGGAGGGCGGGAGAGCGTCTCCATGCATGTGTTCATGAGGCCCAGTGACAGGAGCCGGCCGGTGTCCCTGGACTGAGAGTAAACTATGTGGCCTGCAGCCCTAAGAGCACAGGGGAGTGAATCCTCAACCCCAACTCCTCACGTGGGGCCCGGTGAGGGGAAGAGCTTGCATGTGGGAGCCAATACATCGCCGTGAAGGAGTGACCTCGGGGAGGACAGTCAGGGTACAAGTGGAAACTGATCCCTACCGTGCATCCCTACTGCTGTGAAGACTCCCTGGCCTCCTCTCCCCAGAGCTGCTGTCACCCCTTCCCTTACCAGCTCCCAAAGACGCCCCCTCCCCCCACAAGTCCCCAGGACCCCTAAGCATGTAGATGGAAGTGAGGTTGCTCATCAGTGGGCCTTAAACAAGGAGATCTTATACGGGGAGTGCATTCCAGGCAGAGGGACCAGAATATGCAAAGTCCTCTGTGCACAAGAGAGCTTGACAGGGAGTGAGGCGAGTCAGGGAGAGGGGGGAGGGTGGCCGGACAGAATATAAAAGGTCCTTAAAAAGTGGAACAGGGAGCCCGAAGGGAAAACCAGAAAGATGGGAGGGAGCTTAAAGACGAAGACCAAGATTGCTGGCTTTCGAGATGGAGGAAGGAGACCCTGAGCCAAGGAATGCAGGCCTCGAGCAGCTGCAGAAGGCAAGCAAACAGAGTCTTCCCCTGAGCCTCCGGAAGGCAGAGCCCCGCCAGCACCCTGGGGTGAGCCCAGGGGGACTCAGTTCAGACTCCGGGCCTCCAGCGCTGGACGGGAAGGAATCGGTGCCGGGGAAGCCACGCAGTGTGCGGTAATTCAATCCGTCCCAGCAGCAAGAAGCAGCGAATACGCCGCTTGTCATCCTGCTTATCCTCACACAATTTTCAATGATATGCCCATCCAACTCCCCTCAGCAATGAAGATAACAATAATCGCGGAAGCTAACACGTGGCAGGGTTTTTCCAAGAGTTTTTCACCAAGTCTCTCACAGATGCTAGAAAAAGGCCACTTCCACAGAACACCAGGCTGGAGGTGAACACAGGGACCTGGGAGCGGGGGAGGGAGTTAGAGGCACCTTCACGGGGATAAAGGCACACGTGTATGTTAAAGGGTGAGGGGGAGCTAGCCCAGAAGAGAGGCAGAATATCCTAGGCAGAGGGGAGGACGTAAGAGAAATGAGGCGCAGTGCGTGTGCTGGCAAGCACCCTGGTGCTCAGCTTCAGGCTGATCGTTTCTCCGTTAGTGTCTCCAGCCCCCAGGTATCTAGCCACATGCCCTGGGATGTAGCCACATGCCCTGGGGTCCAGTCTCATGCCCTCAGGCCTGCCTGCAGCCTCCACCTGTCCGCCTGAGCATGGCCCAGAGGGAGCCTCGTTCTCTGCACGTTCCTCCTCCAGTCCTCCCTGTCGCCCAAAGTGACACCCAGCTGTTCAAACCACAAGTCATCTTGGAGCCCTTCCCCCTGCCTCACCCTCATTTGATCCATCGCCAAAGCCCATCAGTTCTACCTCCAACATCTCACAGGCGACACAGCTCCATCTGCTCCCCGAACACGTGGCCCACGCTCTTACCGTGGCTCCTGGATCAGCGCAATGGCCTCCTAACTGGTCTCCCCGCGTCTCCGCGTCGTCCCCTGTGATCAACAGTTCATCAAGCAGTAACCTCTTCAAAATGTCAATCAAGCCCTAACGGGTTTGGCTCGGTGGATAGAGCGTCGGCCTGCAGACTCAAGGGTCTCAGGTTCAATTCCGGTCAAGGACATGTACCTGGGTTGCGGGCACATCCCCAGTGGGGTGTGTGTGTGTGTGTGTGTGTGCAGGAGGCGGCTGATCGATGTTTCTAGCTCTCTATCCCTCTCCCTTCCTCTCTGTAAAAAAAAAAAAAAAAAAAAAAAAAATCAATAAAATATAATTTCTAAAAAGAAAGAAAAGAGAACGTGTGAGGCTGACACGGAAAGATGAGGCTGGAAGTAGAAGGCCTTGAACCCAGGGTCTCATCCATCTTTGCACAACCGGCACCTCACACAGGGGAGCCACTCAGCAATGCACCCTGGGTGAAGGAAGCAGGACCGTTCCAGAAGAATCTGAAAAAACGCCGTCCCTTCTGGGCCAGGCTCCCAAAGGGGTCCCTCTCCTCCTCGGGACTTCTTAGGGGGTAATGCGTCCAGGGCTTACAGCAAGGGCTCCGGAAGTGCTACGGTGTTTCCCCGAAAATAAGACATCCTCCGAAAATAAGACCTACTTACAGGTTTCCTTCTGAGTGAAATATAAGGCACCCCCCCCCGCCGAAAAGAAGGCCCCCCTAGGCTAAACATGAGAGATTTGGTCCACTGATTCTGAAAGAAATGGAGTCACAAGAAATTCACCAGGAAATTCAGGAATGGGATTGTTATGATGATGTTCCAGAAAATGATGACATGATTGTCATGGAATAAATGAGTAAATTCTTGATCCTGTAGGATTCACAGTTTGTCTGGTTTGTGTTGACAACTACCGTACTACCGTACCGTATACAGTAATACATTTCCTTTATTTTCATTTAACAATAAATGTGTACCGTATTCTTCTTCATGGAAAAATAAGACATCCCCTGAAAATAAGACCTAGCGCATCTTTGGGAGCAAAAATTAATACAAGACACGGTCTTATTTTCGGGGAAACAGGGTAGCTGCCGCCGTTACTATTGCTTCTGTGGGGAGGACTTGGGCATGCCACAGAAAAGGCTTCTTCTGGAGCCCGTACCAGCTCCAGTGGGTGGGAGGGAAGTGGGAGGAAGCGACACAGGCGGGCAATGAGAACGGGGTGCAGGGTCCGGGGCACGTCAGCTCACCCGGGTGCAGCCTGGAGATGCCCATGGGCGGGAGGGTCCTCCCCAGGCACTGGGCAGGGCCCCCATTTGGATGCACACAGTCATTGGGGGACCTGAAGGGCTCCGGCTGATTTTGCCAATCTTGGCTCCCTGTGGTTGGTGAGGACTGGGGAGGTGGAGAATGTCAGTTTCCCTCACCAAATGGCAAGTTGTGAAAAAGTCCCTTTTTCTCCAACATCATCACATCCTAAAACTGAAAACCCAGCCATTCGGAGGAAAATAGATGGGCTGCTTGGCTCACAGGATACGGGAGGGCCGACAACCAAGTCTGGGGAATGTCCCGGGGTGCACTGTGTGCTAAGACCGCTGCCCTTTTTGGGGACCTGGGAGGTTCTATTCTTCATAAAGGGATGGGAGCGAGAAAAGTAATTCCCTACGTAATCAGCCACCCATTTTCATATTTCAAATTCCATTTGGTGGCTGAATCTCCGAATCCATTGAGTGGCTGAACAGCATGAGTTAGGAGAATTAAAAAACAAAACAAAAAACTCTTTATCTCAAAATATGCGGTTTGAGATAACAACCTATATGTTAAGATAGCGGTAACAGACAAGACAGAACAAGAAGACACTCAACAAGGAAGGTGAGCCTCCAAAGAAGACAGTTCCAAACAATCCGTGTCTGGCGGATCACACAGGGACATGGTGAGAGTAAGGCCAGGTGACCTTGGGTAAGTCCGGCACCTCTCCCAGCCTCCTCTGTACAACAAGAAGGGGCTCACGTTGCTATTCTCCAAGGGCCTTTTCTCTTTCTTAGAGGCGGAAATCTGATGCTTCCAGGCGGACCTGCATCTTCCTACTCTGGCCCTCCAAGTGCAAACCAGAAAGGCCCTGGGGTAAAGAAAGGCTGCCACAGAGAGAAAGCTGGCCTCCATGCCCGGTTACGCCTGACAATCCCAAACAATAATTACTCAGCGGCCCTGCCCTGCCCTGCCCTACCGGGCATCCCAGCACCAACCATGCCAAGGCAACCTGACCCAGCCTGTGGGGAGAGCGGGAGAAAGCTCTTGTTCTTTCTCATCAGGGCAGGCAAAGCAGAGGTGGCGTTAAGGATCATTCGGCCCTGGCCCTGCACCCCCCCCCTACCCCGCCCCCCGCCCCTGCCCAGTGGAAAAATAAATTAGCAAAGGAAACCGCTTCGGGAATGCCCCAGATGGCTCGGGATGGCTGGAACCGCACACCGCCAGGCGCCAGGGACTTTCTTTTAAACTTCCAGGCGCTCTCAGGACAGGCAGCAGGTCCCCCCACGGTGCACGCGTTCCATCCCAAGCCACTTCCCGGGCTCCTGGGCAGCCAGCGCCAAGCCCCGAGCGGGGACCTCTCCTCCCCGCGGGTTTCATCTGCTTTAAAGCAAGTGGCCCGGGGGTCCCGGCCTGCCCGGGGGGCCGGGGGCCCGAGGGCCCGGGAGGGAGGCCGGGCCAGCCCTTGCAGGAACGGCGGGCAACTTTCCTGCATGGAGCCCGGGAGACAATGCCCGGGCCCGCGCTCCGCTCCGCTCCGCTCCGCTCCGCGCCGGGAGGGCCCATCGGCGGGGCCCCGCCACTCCGCCGGGCGCGCGGCCTCAGCCCTTCTCCGAGGGCGCGCGGAGCCATCCCCCGGGTCCCCCCCAAACCCAAACCCCCAGCCAGCCCCCCACCTCGGCGCCTCCTCGGGGCCCTGCAGCGCCGGGGTCTGGAAGGGCATGCAGCCTAGGGGGCCGGCCCGGCGCCCGGTCCCGGCTCCTCTCCACGCGGGCCCCGGGGTGGGGTTGGGGGGATCCGACGACCCGGGGCGACCCCGCCGAGCCCGTCCGGGCGCCCGCAACTCACCGGGACCGGCGGGCCGCTGGGCATTATTCCATCGCGGGCTCCCCGGCTGCGGCGGCGGCGCACACGCCCGCGCCCCGGCCCCTCGGCCGAGCGATCGCGGCTGCGGAGCGGATGGCGGGGCCGCGGGGAGGGAGGCGGGCGGGGGCGCGGGGACAGCCCGGCGCGGAGAGCCCGCCGGGCGGCGGGGCGGGCGGCGGCGCGGGAAGGGGCGGGCGGCGGGCGGCGGGCGGGCGACCATGTGCCGGGGCGGAGGCCGCGGCGGCGCGCGCGGTCGGACGCTCCCGCTCGGCGGGCGGCGGGGAGGGCGCGGGCTTCAGGAAATCCAAAGGCTCCGGCAGGAAACCGGGAGCCTGACTGAGCGCTCCCGCCCCGCGCCCGCCGGGGGCGCCCGCCGCCTTAACCCCTGGCCCGCCGGCTGCGGGCGGGGAGGTGGCGTGGGGGGTGGGTCGGGGGCCGGGGTGGGGGGCACCGCGGATTCCCACCAGCGAGCTGGGCTGGGGACCCAGGGGTCTGGGGGCCCGCACTCTGCCCCTCCTCCGCCTCGCTCCCCCTCCAGCCTGCCTCCTTCTTGCCCTGGGGTGGAAGCCATGGCATCTGTCCCCATAAGACCTTGGCCTTGGGAGGTAGATGCCTTTGTAAGCCCCCCCCCCCCCTCGATTTCAGGGAAGGGCGTTGGCCTCTCCAACCCCCTCCCCTCTCTCTCTCTCTCTCTCTCTCCCATCCTGCAGAGGACGAACTGGCAACCTCCAAGCTCCTACCCGTATGGTCAAGAAGAGAAATGACTTTACCTGGCTGCCCCTGTCCCTCCTTCCACTTTGCTAATTCCCTCACGTTTTGCCCAGGGCCGGGGACAGGGTAGTGACAGGGCCGCAGCCATGGTGTGGATGTTGGACTCCGACCCACCCGGGCTGGAATGGGGCTTTGCCTCTTCTCCAGCTGTGTGACCTTAGGTAGGTCAACGAGCCTCTCTGATCCTCCCTGCCCTCAGCCGTGGGGTGCGTAGGTCATACCGCTCTCACAGGTTCCATATGGGGACCCAGGGCTTAGGCAGGGACTGACACGCTGCAGATGCTCGAGGATAGCATGGCTGTCCTCGAATAAATGATAGCATGGCTGTCCCCGCGGAACCTCGGAGACAGGAGGGTGTGCACTGCGGGCTGTGCCCATCCATGCCTCCTCGCAAAAGCTTTGGGGCTTCTTTTCCCTCCTAATCGCCGCCTGGTTACGTTTCTTTGCAGCGTTTCAGGCAAAGGTTGGTGGCTGTGCAGACGCCCTTCTGCTGAAATCTGAAACTTGGCAAACCTCACAGAAGCGGGGATTTTGTTCTTCATCTGAGTCAGGACATTTGGGGGGGATTGGAGGGGGGTTGTGAAGAAGTCTGAGAGGCTCCACAGAGGTGGAGAGACCCAAGGAACTCTGTGCAGCCAGCCCTGGGCGAGGCGGCCCGTAGGAGTGACTCAGTTCCCCTCGGAAATGCCACCCGCGGGGGCTTTCCACGTGGAGGGTGTAGCTCGGTGGTTTTGCTGCGAGTGTTTCAAACTCCTCTGAAACCGAATCAGACTTTGAAGAGGGAACCACGCGCCCGTGAGTGAAAACCGAAGCTCACAGTGAGCCTGCCCGGAAGTGAAAGAAGGACCAGACGCCAGCTTGAGACCCGGGTTGGACTCTCTCCTGCAACTTTCCGTGGTCAGAAGCGGTGGGAGCTCTGGGTGGGCATTGGAAGGGTAGGGTCCTGCCCCCGGGCCTTGGCAGTTGCTCCACCCTTTGCCTGGAAGTCTCTTCCCCCCGCTGTTCCTGGCACTCAGCCCACGACTCAGAAGTCAGCTCCTCCAGGCTTCCCTGGCCATTGGATCTCCTTGGCTTTGGCACCTGTGCTCCCGCCCACCCCTCTCCCCACGTCCTGACATGTGCCCTGCTTCACTGCTCCATGTCCCTTATTGCTATTCCATCCTTCCTGTTTATCTGGCTGCCTGTTTGTTTGTTTGTTTGTTTGTTTTAAGAGAGAAGGGATAGTACTTTTTAAAAATATAGATTTTATTGATTTTTTTACAGAGAGAAAGGGAGAGGGATAGAGAGCTAGAAACATCGATGAGAGAGAAACATCGATTCAGCTGCCTCCTGCACACTCCCCACTGAGGATGTGCCTGCAACCAAGATACATGCCCTTGACCAGAATTGAACCTGGGACCCTTCAGTCTGCAGCCCGATGCTCTATCCACGGAGCCAAACCGGCCAGGGCATGGCTGCCTGTTTATCGTCTGTCTCTGCTGCATGAGAGCAGGACTGCTGTGTGTCGCCATCCCTCAGGGCCAAGGACAGTGCTGGCCCACAGAAGACCCTCAAGAAAGACATGTCCAGCCCAGCTGGCGTGGCTCAATGTCTGAGTGTCGACCTATGAACCAGGAGGTCACAGTTCGATTCCTGGTCAGGGACATGCCTGGGTTGCAGGCTCAATCCTCAGTGAGGGGTGTGCAGGAGGCAGCTGATCCATGATTCTCTCTCATCATGGATGTTTCTATCTCTCTCCCTTTCCCTTCCTCTCTGAAATCAATAAAAAATATATTAAAAAAAAAAAAACAAAAAACACCCACAGACAAACCAGAAAGACATGTCCAGTGAGTAAGGAGCTGCACGTTGGCTCTGCCATGAGCTCCCGTAGCTTCTGCTTTGCTGAGAGGCTGTCAGAGGGGAAGCCCCGAGTAATGGCAGAAGCGCCGTTGGCTTTATTAGTGGCTCCGGAAAGTGAAAACGGTAAATCATTAAGACTGGCAGCGTCCTAAGTGCAGCCTCATCGGTACAGCCCGTCCCGGCTCCTCCCGGTGCTCCCCCAGCACTTCTGTTCGCTTGAAGAACGCATTTATCGCATTATATGCTTGCTCGGTGAGTGCTCGCCTACATCAGAGGGCCAACTCAGGGCTGGGGAGAAAGGAAAGAGGCCATACTTATTGACCGCTTACTCTGAGCGGGGCCCTGGGCGAAGTGGATCTGAACTCTTGAAAAGGCTATTTGGTTAAGTGCCTGTGATGGGCTCAAAAACCTTCTGGGCGCTGGACTAGCCAAGATAATCTCCGTGCTCTCTAAGAAGGCTGTGTTTAGAAAACAGACAGGTGCCCTAGCCGGTGTGGCTCAGTGGACAGAGCGTCGGCCTGTGGACCAAAGGGTCCTGGGTTCAATCCCAGTCAAGGGCATGTACCTTGGTTGCAGGCCCCTGCTCGGGGCTTGTGCAGGAGGCAACCAATCAATGTGTTTCTCTCATCGGTGTTTCTGTCTAAAAGAAAGCAGAGAGGTGATAACGACGGAAGAGGTGTGTCCAGACTCAGGGGCTGTGTGGAGCATGGGGCAGGGCTTCTGTATGGGGGGAAGGGGCGGTGTCTCAGTCTGTTCAGGCTGCTATAACGGTACCGAGATGGAGCGACTTCTACACAACAGACATTTCTTTCTCCCGGTCCTGGAGGCGGGGAAGCCGGGCACGGGTGCAGACAGGCTTGGTTCCTGGTGAGGACCTGCTTCCGAGGCCCCGGACAGCCTCCTCTCGCCGTGCCCTCACGTGGAGCAAGGGGTAAGGGCAAGTCTACTCCCTGGGCTCTGTCTTATCGAGGCGCTAACCCCGTTCATGAGGCTCCACCTCGTGACCTAACCGCCTTCCAAGGCCTCACCTACGCCATCACCTTGAGGGCTAGGATCTTAGCAAATGAACTGGGGGGAGAGGCACAAGCAGGAGATTTGAAACCACTTCCAAACAAGTGGGAGCTCTTTTTTTTTTTTTAATATATATATAATTGATTTTTTTTTACAGAGAGGAAGAGAGAGGGACAGAGAGTTAGAAACATCGATGAGAGAGAATCATCGACCAGCTGCCTCTTGCACACCTCCTACTGGGGATGTGCCCGCAACCAAGGTACATGCCCTTGAACGGGAATTGAACCTGGGACCTTTCAGTCCGTAGGCTGACGCTCTATCCACTGAGCCAAACCGGTTTCAGCCAAGTAGGAGCTCTTTAACTCAGTCTCAAGGAAGAGAGAGGTGAGCTTGATCTACCAGGTGAGGACGCACAGGCCTGTCAGCCAGAGCAACAGCCACATGTGTGCTCAGCTCAGGGTCCCCCGCACCCACCTCAGAGCTCACCTGTGGCTGCAAGTGGTGCCACCTGTCCAAGGAGCTGTCCCCAGAGCATGCACTGTTCCTCCTCTCTGCTCTTAGCCAGGCAGATTGCCCCACAGCCAGGGGGGAGCCCCAACCAACCCGAGGATAAATGTCCCAGCCTCTCGTCCCTAAGGGGGAGCAGTCCTACAGCCCCTTCAACACAGGTCCTCACGTGAACCCCAGCAGTAACGCTCCCTAGCTCTTGCTTTATGCTTCCTTGCTCCTCCCTGCCTCACTTTCTCACTCCCTTATTTGTTCTACCTGGGATCAATCACCTCCCAAATCACCCAGTTGCACCCAATTCCTTGCCTCAAGATTTGTTTCTGGGGAACCCAATCCAGGACAGAATTCATTCATTCATTCATTCATTAAATCACTCACAGATATTGAACAGGCACCCCCTGTGGGCCTGAGCAAAGACTGAGCATGGGCATATAATATATTGGGGTAAGTCCACAAGGTTCAGCACAGTCTGAGGAAGCAGTGCATGTTCAGACACAGAGAGCCACAGACTAAAAAAGCTTTGCTTCGTTTTACAGTTGAAGAAACTGAGGCACGGGAGTGTTGAGTAACTGGCCCAAGACCAGACACTCAGTGCAAAGAGGAGTTTTGGAGTCCGGCCTTGTAACCGCCACCCTCTGCTTCCTTTCCTGGCAGTCTGTGCTAGGGGTGCGGGCTGCCCGTGAGCTCGCCCGTGGGTGGGCAGGTGCAGAGTGAGAAGGCCCTGGGATCAGGGCTGAACCCTGAGGGACACTGTAGATGGGGGAAGAAGAGGTGCCCTCGAAGGGAGGGTGTGGTCAGAGAAAGGAAGTGGAGGAAAACCAAAGGGTAAGGGGCGAAATTGCTTTGAAAAGGAAGGACCGGCCAACACGCTCACATGCCCCAGGAAATTCAATCAAATGGGGACCAGAAAGCAGGCGCCATTTTGCCCGGCAGTCAGAAGGCTGGTAACTTTTGCCAGAGCCGCCTCAGGGGAGTGGGGGGATTGGAAGCCAGATT